AGTTGAAAGAAAAAGGATTTGAATACATAATAATATATACTAAATATTATACAAAACTTTATTGCACAGACATTTTACCTCTAGAACCGGAAATACATATATTTGAAAATGAAAATCATTATAGATCTGAGGCCCTGGAACTCCCACTATCATCAAGATTTATGATTGAAGGGGCAACGTGAGTATCAATGATACCGTCTAATTTCCACATTTTAGGTTCAACCTTTTCTGTCACATGCTGATACATTTTCTCACTTATTCCGTGTTATTTGTATAGCATCATAAAAAATATTTATAAAGTCACAAAATTTAAAACATTTATTTTCTGCTGCAATATATTTTTTTATGTCTGCCCACATGAGCTCAAACGGATTGAGCTCACAAAGCTAAGGAGGCAGGCGTAAGTAGTTTTATTGTGTGTTGGCCATTTCATCAATTATGTTCAGGTTATATTTATTTTTATGCGTCTTGACAATTTGTAACAATTCTACCTTAACCCTTGTATCATCATAATCAATCTTTTTATTTTTAAGCAATCCTTGAATTTCTGATTTTTTTGTTGACGTTGTTGGAATTTTCTCTAATTTTGTGAAATGACGCATTATCTAATACTATAACCGAATTACCTTCAAGCTTCGGTAGAGAAAAATAATTCATTTTGGACACTTTAAAACCGCTCCTATTGAAAGCATTAAAAACCCAAAAAAATGATTGCCTGATTTCTTATCACGATATAGTTTAAACATGTACAAAAACAAAAATAAAATATAATTTTAGTTGAAATTCTTACAAGTATTGAAAAAAATGTAGGTGTCAGCTTTGCAATCAATGTCCTGAACACTTGAGTCACTCCTTCCTTGCATTTTGTATTTATAAATGTTGATAATTATTTGTCTTTCGCTAACGCGAAAATGAGGCGTTTTACCTCTTTTTTTAGGTGGTGTGCAGCTAATATCAACAACTTCATCGGCTGTATCCGTATGCGACATTTTGAGTTCTACGAAATTAAACTGACAAATCGAATAAGCACACAGTAATTACTACCAGTATAAATCTGATGCCAACTCTGTACTGTGCGGCCAGCCACCGGGACAGCGGGCATGCACGGTCGTATCGTCTCCCACCACCATCTGGTTTGTTATTGGTTTTGTGTATGGGCTCGACCTATTCTGCCCAATAACAGTTATGCTCCCTCTCTCTTGAAATATATCAGTTTACTATTCACGCAACGCTCTCAAGGTCGTTTGGCACCGAAGGTCGGCGCTCAAGGGCGTCCCAGAATATACAAACCCTATCTACTTGTGTTGTCTCTTTAGTTCTAGAAATTTCGCGCTTAGGTTTTGGTCAACTAACATGTAATGCATATGTGCTATTCAGGGTATTCAGTAAACAATGGCAATACCTCTAGAGCAGAAAGTACATCCATAGATGACTGCAATGTAATAATAGTTTATAAAAAGTTTTAAGCTCATTGAGATATATTTACTTTTAATAGACGCAACACATAAGATACTTCATTTAAACTTCCCTCTCTTGCCTACGGAAATGATAGGAATATTACATAACATAAATAGTCTTCGTAAACACAGATGCACCAATACACCAATACAATACACCAATACAGTGTTTTGAAAATTTCTACGACGCCATTATTGAGATCATCTCATCAAGTACAACATATGTAAATACTCATAAAATTTCACTGTGGTGAAATGGGGCTACCCACATAATATACAGGGTGACTTCGAAGTTGAGTCATTTATTTTAACAGTGAGTAGATCTGATCAAAAGAAATGTTTTTTTCCATTACCATTTTTCTGGTAAAATTAAAGTATCAAAGTTATAGCCCTTTGGAAGTTTGAGTACCGCCCTGCCTATTATATGCTGGTGTTTGGCGACAACGGATATAATCCGCCTGACCGGTTCATCGCATCGGAAACAAAAAAGCGAAAGAATTTGAAACGTTTATCACGATGTTTTTCGTCTGTCGATAACGCGTTAGTGAATAGTAGTGTGTTGCGTGGCTCAAACGAAATCAAAAATGGCACATGTTTACGAAAATGCTGAACTTGTGGACATGATTCTTATTTACGGGGGGGCAGTCTTTACAAAATGCTCCCGGATGCATCACGGATTTATGCGAATCGGTTTCCCAATCGAGTGCAACCAACCCCTCGTGCCTTTGTTAATGTAGTACAAAGGGCTCGTGAATCAGGTGACTTAAGACCTCACAGGTGAGGGCATGCTGCTTCAAGACCGCACGATCAAATACAGGTCCGCACTGAAATACTTGTCGGGAGGATACTTCATTAAACAAGGTAACATTTTTTTTTTATTTTTTTTTTATTTTTATACACATATTTTGGTTTATCTCCCTTCTACAATCATTATCTGAAAATTAATGACTCAACTTCAAAGTCACCCTGTATGTATTTAATGTAAAACTCACTAACTCCAGTAAATTTTCAAAGACAAAGATTTTTATAAGGACTATAGCTCATCTATTCAAACCAATTTTCCTTCAGAAGAAAACATCCGACATAAACTTCTAACAGAGACTATGTATGGAAAATACACTGTCTAAACATTCAATATTTGTTTCAGAAAAGTCAGTGGCAAAGAAAGTATTTTTCCCATCTCTGTAGGGGTCAAAATATCCTACTTTATACGGCTACTGGTACAGTTAGCTGCAAAATTTTTGCATGTTCTCGGCGGCAAATAATGAACATAGCCCAGTGGAATCAACGTCGGAAGGTAGACTAATGGAAATAGTTTAGTAAAATGAACTTTGCAATTTTATTAGGCAAAAAAGCTCGAGTGACACGCGGTTAACCCCCTCGAAAACAGTCTGACTTTGAAAGTTCTTAGGCAAACACCTATGTACAAACAGCCAAGATTACAGTGCTTAGGCCCCATTGGACCTTTTGTACTCGAACGTCCTTCCAGAGCTTAGTATAAAAAATGGTGGTGATGCAACCCAGCAGAGAGTTTCCCTTATACAAGCCATAGAAGGTTAAGGTTCCACCAGAATAGATTCTGGTAGCACTTAACTCATCTTCCTGTTCACCTGAAAGTGTGGTGTTCAATTGCAATACCAATGGCAAACGTAAGTTGTTTGGAGTCGTCGATGTCATCGGAGCATTAATGAAAACAATCCAGTGAAATTAACTTTTCAAAGTTCATTCGGCAAATATATAGAACTGAATAGCGAGTGGAGGAAAAAAATAAATAAAAATTGTAGAAAAAGAAAAAGCACATATTGTAGTAGTAGCCAGTAGCTTCAGGGGATTGATGAAAATAGTCCGTTAACATCGACAGTTTATTAGGCAAACACCTCGATACCTTTATCCACTCTAACGGTATAACTCTGTTGGATTTCAAAATTATAACTGGAACACCCTATATCTCGGTAGGGGGGCATTTAAATTCATAAACTTTTCGTATTATTTTTGAACTTACTATAAAGACAGAAGGCTTAGAAATATTGCCAGTGTTCTTTGAATCACCCTGTATATATTACTAATTTTATGTATTATTATGACTGTCTAAAAATGCTTTAAGATAATACATATATCTTTCAAGTAAAGTTTTAAAAGACATGTTTAAATGTCTATTTCAACGCATACCAAACTGCTACTGAAATTTTCCATTATTTCCCAAAGTTTTCAACTTATGTATGTCCAAGGTGAGGCCGTGTAGAGAAATACGCGTTTGCAGATGAGGTAAGATCTAGGTATCGTTGCAAATGGCATTCCTGAAGTCCGTGCGTATTTCCTGAGCATCGCACTTTCGCACGGGAGCGGTATTCTCTCGATTAGTGGAGAATGGTTAATTTCCAGAAATGGCTGATATACATAGGTGCAGATCTTGTTGTTAACGTATTATGTAAAGTGCGCAGAATTTTGTAATGAAGTGTTAGAGAAGCATTTTTTATGCAGTGAGGATGGTTCAAGATCAATTTGAGATTTTCAATAATGCACTTATTAGGACCAGTTGAGCTGCTGCTCATTCTAAATCCGGAAAACAATTTAAAATTCCTGCGCCACTGTCGGCTCTAGTGAATGCCGTTTCCCGCAACTAAAAGGACAAAAATGAAGTTAAAAAAAAGCCCACTTATGAAGCCCAAATTTCGGACACAAGGATATTTCAATGAAGCTCAAGAAGTAACTAGGATGGACGAGTGAATGCTATTTTGAAATACGATTTTTCAAATATGTGAAATTCTGTATCTTTAAACCATACCAATGCAAGATTTACGTCAATACAGGGGGATTAAGAAATTCTCGAACAGAAAGTATAGCTGAAAATAACATAAAATGTTCCTATAAATATAGGTTAGAGTTAGTAACGCCACTAATGAGACTGATTGAAAAAAAAGAAAGGAATATTTTTCGAATGATGCTGTGGTGAAACGGGATTACTTCTCTAATATACTAAATACAATTTTCAATGTCAAACTTTACTAACTTGTACTTGTACATGTTTAAATTCGGACTGATTTACGTTTTTTTGTACGTATTATTCCTCAAATATTCAAACCAATATTTATGTAAAAGGGACAGTCTTATAATATTTTATCAAGAGAGACAATTTATCTAAAAGAATAATACCTTACCTAAGTATGCAACAAGTGCTCCAGAAAAGACAGTGGTATAGATATTTTTTTGCCCCTTCCATAGGGGTCAAAATATTACTTTCTACACCGTTGGTGGGGTAGAGTTGCTTATGCTGTTAGTACTGCATATAAAAAAAATTAAGTCAACGCACTCGATTTTCAAATAGCTTCAACACCCTGTATCTCGGTAAGGGAATATTTTGACACCCATGTTTACGTGACTAGTGTCATTTTGCCATTGTTTTTGTATCACTCTGTATAAACTTTTCGTCTTAAGAATCATTCCTGAAGAATAGGGAGGTACTTTATTAACACCCTGTGTGTATTGAGGAGTATGTACATGTTCTTAACTCTATTTTTCTTATTTTTAGTGGAAAGAGACACGTGGAATAAAAAACCCTTTTTATTGACATTTACATAAACACGTACAATGTGTAGTGAGGAGTATGTTCATGTTCTTAACTCTATTTTTATTATTTTTAATGAAAATAGACACGTGGAATAAAAAACCCTTTTTATTGACATTTACATAAACACATACAATGTAGATCGTGTGTTCCAGAATATTCGGAAGAATGGAGGCAACTGTTATTGTCTAATATTTACAACATTTTCCTGTCTGTGTGGATAGTTTCGCTTCAAGACGGATATTTCTTCTACTAAAAGAACAAGTGCTATGCATTCAAAATGAAATGGGCCACTATTTTTTCCACGCGTTCAATATGGATCAGAAAATCCAAGACAGAGTATCGCTGTCATATAATTGTTCATTCCCCCTCATGAAGAAATGCGACACTAGCGCCCAAGTGGCCATTGTACAAGACTAATATATCTATATACCTATTACCGCGAGCTTCGCGATCCGCAATTGATAGTAAGTTGAGGAGAGCTTGTTGGTTTAAGACTTAAAAGCTACATCATGGCTAATTTTCCCACAACAATTTTATTCAGATTCCATTACTGTACAGAAGGGCCCTTAGTAATTAGTATCCAAAAGAATAATTTAAAAAAATGCAAAGATAGCTATGACGGTAAAACATTTATGATCCAACTAAAACGTTACCGAGGTAAAAAGGTTCAATAGATTAGAAAGCTGTCTGACGACTTCTCTCATGAGCAACGTTTTTCTATCAAGAAGGTGATTATAGCCTCGTTCGGGTTCTACAGGCAACTATTCTGGAACCGTTTTGATTCTCCAGTAGCCAATCACAAAGAAGTTCTGACATCATGAGAGCCTACAGCGCAGAATCAGAACGATTCTATGCACAACATGTATAAGACATAAAAAATTGATTAAACAATAAAAAGAGCCAAAAACCGGGATCAGGTACTGTTTCTAATAAGATTTAGGGACTTTTCAACTCTAAGCATAGATAATAAGTTTAGCCTGTGTTTTATGGCTCTGAAAATAGCTGCTTTCGCTTAATGAAAAATCTACTCAGGACTTGATTCGTTCACAATCAGCGAAATAATAAAAAAAATAACGGCATCTAAAAATGAGTTTAGTGATATGTGTACTTTATAGAGTCCTGAGTCCTGACCATTTTCGAGTGGGTAACATGTAACATCTCTATTATAGAGCCTCTAATAAAAGTAAAAGGTAAACCGCGCGCCACAATTAAAATGTTTCTCTACAGTGAAAGTGGAATTTACGAAATATAAAGATATGCACTTTTTTTATTAAATCTTTGATCCTGGTTGGTAAGGTATATCTGGTTCCTGGTATGATGTTTTAAGATGAACCTTAAAACCTTTGGAGATTGGCTTTGAAAGCATAGTGTGAACAGAAATGCATTGTATCTTTGAAATAGCCAATAACGATGAAAAGGACCTGTAGGGTACTTAGGCCGCTTGATTGGGCCTTCGTAAATCATTTGGGAGGAAGATTCCTGAAAGAAACTCAATTCTTCTCCGATATAGTACCTAGTAATAGAGGGGTGTTGGAAACGGCTTGTTTTTCGTTGAGGTTGGCTAATGGGTTGACCGTGATATTGGTGGTGGGAGTAGACGCAGATTGGAGAGGATCCTTCATCAGATCTGGCTGAGTTGGGCCGTCCAGGAAAAAGGTTTGCATGGTACCTTTGCCTTTAACTTCTATGGTGCCTCGACACGTTGTAGGATATCCTTTTGCCGAAAGGATCTGGTTCACTTCCTCCGTTATCTGAAAAACAAAACAATGTATGTTTCAACACTAACAGTGATAATATATAGATAATAGATAAAAGATAAAATAAATAGCGTTAATCGACTTGAAACAGGTTTCTATGAGGTTGAACATAATTCCCATGATTTTTTATTTTTGTTCAAGATCACATGGAGTTGTAGTAGTAGCACTACTCGTAGACCCACGAAAAAAAAAACCCACGAAGATGCTAAACACACTCCGTGATTCCATTCGACATTTTGATAATCAATAATGCCAGGTATTGAAAAGCATCGGATGAAAATGATATTGTAAATAATACTAACGGTCAACATATCAAGCAATAAAAATAAGGATAGTTTTTTACTATTCGAAAACCAGTAGCTTAGGAAATATTTGCAAATACTCATTTTCTATCCCTCTTTACGGGTTTTAATGGTCAATTTAGCATGATTTGCCATGGCGCGGTGAATTATTGAAAATGAATCAATATGTATAACATTCTCATAATAATAATAATAATAGCGTTTATTGTCCAACAGTTACCCCATTTATAGGACAATTACTTAAGCACAATTAAATAATATTCAGTGGTGTTAAAAAAAAAGTTATTTCAAATATAAATAAGCCATTCTAACTGCTGAGTTAAGCGAACAAGTAAATATATCACAATGACAGCTAATACAATGTAGATGTTTACACATAACATATGTAGGAGATTTGACTAACACGTTGGTCCTAGCCCTTGATAGCTTAAAAGTTACACAGTTGCGTGAAGAGAACGAAGGAACATTGAAATTAATCTGTGCCAAAATGACTGGGGAGTCAATAATGCTATTTAGCAGTTTAAAAAGGAATATGGCAGATGAAACTTTCCTTCTCCATTCTAAACTGTGAATTTCAAAACGCTCACATAGTTCCATTATGCTAATGCCTTGCTCAGGGTAAACTCCTTCAGATTTCAAGTATAGAAACTTTAGAAATTTTCTTTGGACCCTCTCAATATCATTTATATAAGTCTGGTAATACGGATTCCATACAACACTCGCATATTCTAGTTTTGTACGTACATATGTAAAATATAAGACTTTTAAGGCCCTTAAGTTATCAAATCGCTTACAGTTCCTGACAATGAAACCGTAAGACTTAAAGGCTTCCAAAACTTTCCGCGAAATATAAGTAGTAAATGTTAATTTATGGTCATATATAATACCCAAATCTTTGACTATATCGCTTCTTTCCAGCACCACACCATCGATATTATAGTTGAATACACGAACATTTTTCTTTCTGCTATAGCTAACTACTCTGCACTTACTTATATTTAGATGTAATTTATTGAGATCGCACCAAATCCTAACACTACTTAACTGCATCTGTAAATCTAAGCAATCCCGCACGTCACTGATTGATGAATATATCTTCATATCATCTGCAAAGCATAACTGTTGACCATTCATACTTTCACAAAGATCATTTCTGGATAATAAAAATAACAATGGTCCCAAGTTGGACCCCTGGGGAACACCAGATGAGGCTAAGTAGGTTTCAGATTTGAAGCCATTATATTCAACAAATTGTTTTCGCTCTGACAAATACGACCTGAAGAATGTTATAGCGCTAAGTGAGAGACCAAAGTGACCAAGTTTCATCAACAAAACCCCATGATCAATTTTGTCAAATGCCTTTGAAAAATCCGTATAGATCACATCAACTTGGCAGTTATCATCTAGAGCTTCAGAAATATATTGGGTTAAAATAACCAAATTGGTGACTGTAGATCGGTTGCTGACAAAACCGTGCTGTTTTTGTGATATTTGATTTTTTATTGAAGGATACAAGCGATTGTACAAGATTATTTCAAAGACTTTCGCAAAAATGCATATAAGAGAAATTGGACGATAATTCTCGACATCTGATTTTTCTCTATTTTTGAAGACCGGACAAACTTTGGACACCTTCCATATATTCGGGAATATATTAGATTTTAAGCACATGTTGAATAAGAGAGTAAGTACAGGAGAAAAAGCTCTAGCACAGTCCTTTACAAGGAACGAAGGAATACCATCAGGACCCGAAGTCATCTTATCCTTTAGCTGACTAATGGCTAAAATAACTTCGCTATCCTGGATAGGAGCTAAAATTAGATCGATGTTATGGTTAACGTGCTCAACGATATCAACGTTTAAGTCTGATTGGTGGTAAACACTGCTGAAAAAGTTAGCAAATACATTGACAGGCTGACAGTACGTATTATTTTGATACTTCATTTATCAAAATTTCTTTGGATTGCTAACTAAACTATTCTGAACATTCTCCATGTAGATATTATACGCCCTCTTTATTTGAGATTTGATTGAACGGCGCAGTCTCTGAAATTCTTCAAGATCTGACTGATGTCCAAGTTTAGCAAACCTTTTCCTGTATTTAGCTTTTTGTTTAATACTTTTAATAATATTGGAATTATACCAAGGTGGATACTTGTGACAATAATTTTTGTATACAGGTATATGAGTATCAAAAGTGCTGTACAATTTTTCATAAAAACGATCTACTGCGATATCTATATCATCAGAATTCACAGTCGAAGTAAAATTTATTGATAGGAGTTCTCTATACAGTGAAGGAAAATCGGCTTTTCTAAAATTGTATACCTTATTCGTTAAATTGTAGCGAAATTTAGCCTCCCTTGCAAATAAATTTGGTATACTAATTAACTGTGCCGGATGATGGTCATCCTCAGGCACCATAGGCGTGGAGTCATGAGCTACTACACAAGAGTAGTGAGATATGACCAAATCAAGCAACCGATTTAATTCACTACGGACGTCGTTATACTGTCTGAGATTAAACAAGGTCATATAGTTGAGTACAATTTCTGTCTTAGCATCAGAAGGGTTGTTCACAACAAAATGCGGGACATTTAAATCACCCACTAGGATTGTGCTATTGTTGTTTAAATAATCCAGTTGCTCAAAACACTCAAAAAATGACTCAAATTCCTCAAGTCCTATTTTGTCAGGCACATACAAAGTGGCTATATAAAAAGTTTTAAATTCTACCTTACACTTAACAATTAGCAGATCAATATACGGAAAATGAGTATCAAAAGCTGCTACATCTATCACTTCTGAGCTTATAAAGTCCTTTATAGCCAATATAACACCCCCACCAGACGATTTATTTACTCTATCAAATTTACGGTCTTTTCTGTACACATTATAGACATTTGGAAAAAATTCAGAATCGGAAACACCATCACTTAACCATGTCTCAGTTAATGCCACGATATCAAACTCACACTCACATGATGAAGAATAGAAAGTATCAGCCTTGCTGTTCAGACCCCGAACATTTTGATAATACAAAGAAACTGACCTGCTCAACCCATCGGAACTGCTGGAACTTGTCAGTTTAAATCTCTGACTAACTTAGGAGTGCCATTTATGTATTTAATTTTAAACTTCTGAGAACCTTCTGAGTTTCTAACTCTCATACGCGGTATACACTTTATCGGCTGTGTATTCAATTAATTTCCAAACAAGTACAGGTAGATAGTGTTAGAATAACAGCGATGTAGTGATAGACAATATTTGCAGGAATTTTCTAAACTACTAATATCTGACGTAGATAACCTCATACAAAACTATATACTGGGGGTTTCCATTGAAAAAATGGCATTTTTCACAATTTAATTTCCATTAAATTTTTTTGATCACCCTCTGTTATTGACTACCGAAATATCGAATGGAGACTACTAAAGTAGACCCTAAAAGCAGTTATAAATGCAACTTTAAGACGTCCTTAGATTCGTCTTGGCAGCACAATTGATTCTCCATTGCCTTCAGTTACCGCAATCGGATTGTTTGTATTTTTTAAAAATGTACGTGCCTCTTTCTTCAGGGGCCTGAGCGTCTGGGACGAGGGCGGCACATCTCCACAACTCAGATCTAACGGTGTTTCGAAAACAGCTTAGATGCCACTCTTTGCTTAGAAACGGGTACCCTGTTAGGTATATTGTACTTCCCAAGAGGAAGCGAGGGTACTACATATGCCCCCCTTAATGGGCGCTATACTCAAAATTACTTTTTCTTAATCGGTCTTCCAAATACAGAGTTCAGTTGTTAAATTGGTAGCATAAGATGTCAAATGAGATTTTTATTAACCTATGCGTTTTTTGTTTGTTTTCATTATTAACCTAGAGAAAGAAATATTGTTGCCTTTTTGACATTGCGGTAAATAATGATGGATCATCGGGTTAGTAAAGCAAAAGAATTTAAGCTGCTCAAACATTTTTGAATGAGACATGGCTCCGCTGGTTGCAGATGTAGGAACGCTCATCATTTTTGTGTATTCAAAATACTCCTGAGACGCATTTGGACAATTTCAGTGGAAACAACTTTTTGAAAATTCATCCACTGTCCTTCAAGTGGACATTTGTTATGTGCATTCCACAGTAGGCTGTATCTGTATCGCAGGTTTTCAAAATATCCAATGCTTTGAAAGCTGGAAATTTTAAATATTTAAGAAAGTTTAAAAATTGTGGAAAATGGTGATCTCTAAAATCATGAAAATTATGTAAATTTCTAAGCTTTGAAAACAATTAAAACTTTGGAAAATTTGAACATCTGTTGCAACAACTGTTACTGTGGAAGACAAATGATTAATATTCACTTGAGGGTCACTAAGTGTGCGTCACTGTTGATGTCTAAGTTACCTGAATCTTATCGCAGACCCCTGTGCTGTCCATACGACTAGCGACGTTAACTGCATTGCCCCAAATGTCGTATTGGGGCTTACGAGCTCCGATGACTCCGGCAACCACTGGCCCCACGTTGATGCCCACGCGTACTCGGAACGAGTTGAAGGAATGCTCGTTTACCTCCTGCAGTTGTTCGCGAAGGCGCAAAGCGTAGTCAGCCATCGCTGTCACATGCTTGTAATCTACCATGTCACAGGTGACACGCGTCAAACCTGCAATGATAAACCACATTATGTTTTTATTCTCCTGGATCACCATTTTCTTATAGTTGACTTGAAATTTAAATGAATATGATTTTTTCAAAAAGCATATTAAGTCTCGAGAAAAAGGAATCTTTAGAAAAAATTCAGAACAGTGTTTTACAAGCAGTTTCTGAGAACTCTGAGGTATCAACTAGACAAATTGAGAACTATGTAGGAGTAGCCAAATCCACAACCCAATTCGTTTTGCGTAAAGATAGATATCACCACTATAAATTTAGGATTTTCCAAGGACTTATACCAGGGAATGGGGAACGGCGCTAACATTTTTGTGAGTGGTACACACGAACATGTGAAGATTTTAATTTCCCTTCCCAAAAATGATATGGTGGTCATTGTTAATGCTAGCTTTAATCGTAACAACACTCATTACTGGGCTCAAGAAAATCTACGGACTAAAAAGGATCCAGACATCAACGGCTTAATATGTGAAATGGAATTCTAGGGACGAAAATATTGGGTTCATTTATTTACCATGACTCATTGACTGCAGAACGGTGCCTGTCTTTGGGACAGGTTAACCGCTGCTGGTTTCAACAAGATGGTGCTCCTGCGATTACCCGGAAGGTGGATTGGAACCTCCAGTGAAGTATCATGGTCAGCGCGTTTCCCGGATTTAACTCCTCTGGATGTTTTTGTTTGGGGTTTTATCATCATACTTTTCAAACTAAGCAGCAGGTACGAGAATGTGTAATGGAAGCATTTAGTATGAGAACACCAGAGATGTTACGTGATGTTTTGAGCTCTACTGTTAGAAGATCATATTTATGTATAGAAAATATAGGATAAAATTAATAATAAAACTGTATTGTTTATTCTGAATACCATTAGATTAAGTATTATTTGTTTATTTATTTTATAAAATTTTACCGCATCATCTCATTATGTAATATGCATCTATCAGTAATCACACAATCTTATATCAAGCATTTGTTTGCAACGCTTACTTAAATAAAATGAGAAAATATTTTTTTTTCTTTGTAACTGAGAAAATAAATGTACCATGTGATACTTCGTTGAATTTAAGACGATATAAAAAATAATATATAAATAATATAAAGATGATGGTTTCTCAAAAACGACACGTCGGGTACAAAATTTAAAAACACCATCATGTACTGCATAAAAAGTTCCAATGTTTTTTGATATTTCTTAGAATAAAGTCAGAAGAACATAAAATCAATTTGGCCAAATTTTAGTTTTTTTTCAAATACCTCAGTAAGCCATGACATTTTTACAAGTTTCTGAACGACATGCAAATACATCCCAAAGAACGCAGCTCTTTCCTTATTTAACCTAACCTGTTTCTCCCACCGGTATTGAGATCCCCATGCATAGGATCCTTATCTTGGTCGCATATGAGCAGAAGAGTACTTGAGAGTCTACAGATGACTATATCTCATTAACGGTGACTTAAGGAATAAAAGTACTTCAAAAACTTTTGTAGATAATAGTGTTCTACCAAACTTGCATAAGGTATTTTTGTGGAATCTCTTTCCCCCTCAGAGAAATATGTCAAAACGTGATATTTTTGACATTTCAACCAAAATAAAACAAGGTTCCGCTCCACGAATATATGAGGAGTTTTGATATATCAGTGATATTACAAGTGTTACACCCAGAAAAAATAATTTCTTCAACTTGATTTTTTGGCAATGAAGTAGGCTTAGGGTACGGCCGCACAGAAAGCAATTTCTGCGATTCTGTCGAGATCGCAATACGAGCGTTTCTAGCTGGTTAAAACAAGTCAATGAAGTTAAATGCGGGCGGCCATACATGATGCCGCGCGATTTCAGCGTATCGCGCTAGACCCGGGAGACCAGCATAAATCGAAATCAGTTTGTTCTTTATCGCCGTTCGGTCAACAGGTTTACGACGGTCTTCTCAACATGATCATACGAAATTTTATTGAGAAGTAATAAGAAAAAAAATAATGATGTGCGACCCCCGCAACTGAATGCACTCCTGTATACGTCTAGGCATCGACAAAATGAGATGCTTTACATATAGTCATTATGTTGCCAAAAAAACAACTTGATGAAATTATTTTTTCACACTTCAAATGTCACTGACTATATTTTTGGCCTATACGAGTTTCCAGCTTTGTGGGAATTTTTGCAAACCTATCTTTTATTTCGACTTTATTATACGTGGAACTATGATATGGATCTAGTATGTACATATTATGTTTAAAGATATAAGCAATCTGATTACAGTGGCTCTAATTAAATTAGAGATAACAAGAATACATCATATTCAGATCCTCCAACTCTTATTTCTGCATTCTTATTTAGAAGTTTTCAGTTAACAGAAAGCAAAGAGGTTTTGTGTGGATTTAAAGTTGAGCTTGTTATACATTGCGAGGTGGTTACAGCAGTGAGACTTCATTTCAGGGTAAATCGGATCGGACGGTTGAGTAGCTTTCATTCTTTTTGCAAACCTTCACAAAGAATCCATTACCAAAGCTGCAACGGAGTTTGCAAGACTTTACCGGTTAATATATCAGCATTTTCAAGGGAACCGTTTTTATCTATTGCTAAGGTAAAATGATGCTGCAGTCAATTTGATAAGCTGCTATTTGTCAAATAGAAATCAAAAGGTCTTAACAGCTTCGAAAATGTCACAGTCAACTGCTATAAGTTTTGGTGTTCCTCAAGGTTCCATACTGGGACCTTTACTTTTCTCTCTATATATATCGGATTTTCATCAATATGTTCATAATTGCACAATCCATACTCAAATTTATTTTAGTTTTCAACACAAAGATTTTAAAATAGCAGAAGCATTGCTCAACGAAGACTTAACAAGGCTAGTAGACATCTCGTGCACGCATAACCTAAAAATTAATCCATCTAAATCTTCAGTTATGGTTTTCGGCTCAAAAAACAAAAGAACATTGATCGAAACGGAAATTAACCTTAAAATCTATGATTGCCGGCTTCCTATAATGAATGGGTGTAAAAACTTGGGACTCTGGATTGACACAGAACTAAAATACAAAAAACACGTAAATTCGTTATGTAGTGCATCATACTGCATTTTGAAACAGTTTTATCCACATAGGCAAATAATATCTACTTCAGTAAAGCTGATACTGCGTGAAACATTAATTATATCAAAGATCAGTTATTGTGACAGTATATATGGCGCAGTTCTATCATATAGTGAACAAAGCAAATTACAGCGTACCTATTCAGAATTCGTGCGTCAGATTTTCTTGCGAAATATGAAAGTTTGATCATATTTCTTATAAATTTAAGGAACTTGGTGTTCTGCATATTAAAGCCATGCAAAAGCTTCACTTATTGACACTCACACATAAGGTCTTAGCTACCAAACAACCACAATATTTGCACGATAAGTTAACACGATGTAGTGACATAAATCAACTGAATACGAGGAATAGGAATATGTTAGTGATACCCTTACATTCTAAGGCTGTCTACAAAACATCATTCAGCTACAATGCTATTCAATTATATAATGATCTGCCTGTTACATTCTGAAACTATACATTATTTAATTTTAAAAAGAGGCTTAAACTAAAACTACAAGTCGAGGTCTGATGATGAATACAAAATGCTAGAAGTATGGACTATTCTTGTAATTGTTCTGGTTTTTTTGTGTTGTTAATTATTTAGTAATTATTGAGAATTATGGATACATTTTTGTTGGTGGAATGTTTATTATATATATATATTTTTTTGTTAAGGTTAAGGTTAAGGTTAAGTTGAAAAATCTTAGCGACACTTCGCCTTTTTGTACTTTTACTTAGGTACGAATAAAGCCCATTTATTATTATTATTATTATTATTATTATATAAGCATGGGTGTGCAAAGGTTCCGTTTTTGCTATACCTAGAGAGTGTTGAAGTTTAATTTTTACTTGCTATTTGCGACATTTGTTGAGAGAATTAAGTATACAGGTATACTCGTATTCTGGATTCTTATCTCAATATTCTATGTATACCCTACTTTACGATACGTTGACGATTTAACGATACGTTGACGATGTTCACGATACGTCCAAACTTAGTTGGCCATTTCATGACATGCTCGACCATTTCTTGAAGAAGAAGAAATAGTTAAAGTGAACATGATTGGATTTGAAGAATAATAATATAAATGAGTTTGTGTTGTGACGACCGCTGCATTTTTGCTTTGCACCACTCACGAAACACCTCGCGCGAAAATGCCTGTCCTGACTCTCCAATGCTCGGAGACAACTGACAGCCACTCATTCGTCAGCTAGGTACGCCTCTACCGAATCTAGTCGGTGCGCGCACGCTCCGAAGTACAGTCATGGCGGAAGAAAGAAATGAGTCCTATGACTTTCCGGACAAACCCTGTATACTATGCTACATATCTCCAAATATTCCGGTAAATGAGTTTCAGGGCCTGGTTGACAAGATAATGTCTGAAATTTTCA